GTCTCTTCTCCCCTCTCTCTTCTCCTCTCGCGTCTCTTCTCCCCTGTTTTCTCCTCTCCCCTGTTTTCTCCTCTCGTGTCTCTTCTCCCCTCTCTTTTATCCTCTCGCGTCTCTTCTCCTCTCTCTCCTCCTCCTCCTCTCTCCTCTCCCCATCTCCTCTCCCCTGCTCTCTCTCCTCTCCCCTGCTCTCTTCTCTCTTCTCTTCCAGGTAATCCCAATGCTTCCCAAGATGCTCTGTGAGGAGTTATGCAGTCTCAATCCCATGCGAGATAGGCTGACATTCTCTGTGATGTGGAAGGTGACTCCAGAAGGCAAGGTACCTCAAGCAGCAGGCAATCATCCTGGTAATGAGTCCTCCCTCGGTGGCCAGCCCCTGCTCTTGCATACAGAGTGGTAAAAATGCCATCCCTTAACACCCAGGTGGATAGCAAAGGACTTGTTGGTGAACATTACTGGAGGATGTAGGACTGTCCCTGTATCTTTTATTACTGATGAGATACCATGGAACTGCTAGCTGGAATAATCTCATAATATGGGGGGGAAAAGAAGAATATTCATATAAATCTCAGGAACGAGAGTTTCCTGCTCCTTGCCAGGTCACCCATCCATTTAATGTCTTACCTCCAGCAGCAATTCAAAGCCCTGACTCCCACCCTGCCTTGTGCTCATAGGCAGTTGTGCAATGCAGTGCTTGCGGGCAGTATCCCTCTGTGGCTTCTCTGGTAAACAGACTATTTCATTCTTCTTCAGAGCTGCAAATTACTTCAATCCAAATAAAGCGTGATAGTTCTTCAGCGAAGGTACAGCTCCATCCTCTGCATGTATTATTTCCAGGGAGCAGTTGTGGGGGCTGTCTGTCAGTGTCCCCAACGCAGTGAGCTGCCTCCAGCTGCCTGCTAACTCTCCCCAGGTCTTCATTTCTCTCCCTGTTCCTCTCCCACACTCTTTGTAACCCTAACAATCTCCTCTTTGGTGATCACAGGGTCCCCTCGCTCATCAAGGAGGGCTAAAGACTGCCACTACCAGAGGACTCTCCAATTTATGCGAAGTACACTTTTTAAACTGAGAATTTTTTATTTTTTTTAATCAGCATTGTGCTCATGCACACTCTGTGGAGAGTATTTCTTGTGCCTGCTTGGTAATTTTTCACAAAGATTAACTTTACTTCCTTATTATTGTCTATGCTGCTCTAAAGGATACCGAATCTTGTTTTGTGCTTTAGCAAAATAAAGTTGCAGTCCTATATGTGTGTTTCTCCAGCCAGTCTCTGCTCTGGCACTGAGGTGGGTTTTAGTTGTTCACTGTGAAAAGCGTTCCACTTTCTATAGCGACAGCATGATTACTCATGAGGCCTTCTAAATAGTAGCTACTTCAGTGGGCCTTTTATTGACTCTGAGTGGTCTTTGAACAGCTAATAAACAAGTCTTAATTAAAATAAGCCTTTAATTAAATCTGGTCTCTTGTCCCCTGCAATATATACATTGCTTGCTTTTCAGTGTTCAGACCAACCCTGTCTGACCAGTGAGAAAATAGAGGAGCTGCAGGATCTGCCTCACGCCCGCTCAGGGGGCTGCTCTCGGCAGGAGCGGTGGTCTGGGCCATGACCACGCTGCCCCTTGGAAAACAGACTGCCTACCACCAGCTCAGCAAACTGGTTTCTCCTACGAGGCCTTTCAGGATTGCAGTCTTAATTGAGGTCACTTGATTTGAATATCAGGTGAAGACTGGAGAGGAATTTACTCCTTCCAAGAAGAAAAGTGGTTATAGGGCTTTTGCCCAGCAGGGCATTCTTCTAAGAGCTTATCTCTGAGTTGGGACAGAATGTGTCTCCTGTATTTCTAGGTGTTACTATAGCACTATAGCCTCGTCTCAGTGTAAACACGCTCACATGCTCTCCCACGCTCTGCTGGGTGAAAGGGAGGTGAGTCAAAGGCCCCAACACAGCCTTTGAACCTCAACTGGTGGTGGAGAGTCCTGAGAACAGTGGCACTGAGGACAGGACGTTGGCATGAGGCCAGAGAGCCCTTCGTTGGACCCCCTGTACACAGCAGTATCGTAACCTTGAGCTTGCAAAGCAGAGCCCAGCAGCACTACTAGAGGTGAGAGCTGCTCTGAGCTCCCAGGGTTTCCGTTCCAAAGCAGATGAGTCTAGAGCTAATGTATCTCCCAGGGAAAAGCCACGCAGATTCCTCACTTGAATGTGGCTGTTGATAAGTTGTTGGAATTTTTAATTCTTGTTTCTTTTAGAAAAATAATGCCAGGCTTAGCCCTTTCTGGGAGACGGGCACTTTCTTGTTTCTATTGCTTTTGAGTTCTGGAGTTCTTCCATTCTAGTTTTCATTGAGTGTAAGAGAATGTTGCCTGAGCAGCACTCCACATAGCTCCATGGACTCCAGTGGGATAGTGTGACATGATGTATCTGAAATGACTTTCCAAGGACAGAGGCGTTAACCATATTGGTGCATCTGTGCTGTTCTTCAGAAGCAGAACTGGGCGCTTATAGGAACAGTGTAGCACGTTCTTGTTTGGATGCAGTCAACAGAAAGATATTTGGAAACAAACGATGCAGCTCTTCTTTTTGAGTTATTGCCTGCTGATGTTTGAAGCACAGCCCTGCTGGTTCCTTCTACCAGTGAAGAAGAGAAACTGCTTCAGCCTGAAACAACCTATACAAACAATGTGTCTTCCAGGCTCAAAATTGTTGTTGTCAGCCAGGACGTGATATGGATGCTGCCTTGCGTGGAGAATGTCCTTAGCCTCCTGCACAGCTATGTCACACCCTCAAAGAGACCTGTACCACCAGGGACTGTGCTAATGGGAGAGTTTAAGCTGAGCCACACTGACAAACGTCACACAATGTGCTGGGGACTACAGCTTTTCCTGAAAAGCAACCAGAGACAGGGGAAGCCTTAACATAACCTTAGAAATACCTCACATACAGGTACTCTTGTCTAGAGTCTGGCTGCACCAGGTTTGCTGTGATGGGGGAGACCTTGCAGACCAGTCTTGTGGGCTACTCGTAATCTGCAAGTCCCAGCTCACAACCCCCAGATGTTGCTCCTCCACACTGCTTTGCCCATCCATCAGCCACTGGTACATGGACCAGCCAGCCTTGTGCAGCTTTCCCCACAGAAGTGGAGCTTGCCCATTCCTCTGGTGGGGTTTCCAAACCAAGGACGCAGGGCTGTGGTTACCCAAAATCTGCTTGGATGGCCTCTGAAGGCAGAGGTGGAGGGCATTTCCAGGAAATACAGGGACAGTGGGTAGAGTTAAGTCAGCCTGCTGCAGTAAGGCTGAATCTGGCAGCTCTGCTCACTACACCTGGGGATTACTAGACTGCACGGGGGAAGATGCGTCCAAGCTCCATTCCTTGCCTATGTGATATGTGTTTAATGCATCCAAACAATCTTAGTGAGAAGGTGTTTATTGGGTACGTTAGTAAGAGATCTCTCAGGATTTTCACTGTCCGGTTTACACCTGTTAGAGCCATTGCAGGAATGGAAATTGGGCACTCTGCATCATGCTGCTTGGTTGCCTTTGAGAGACCAAGAACAGAAAAAGGAATTGAGGAAACGGAGAAATAAAAGAAGTTTAATATCTGCCTAGTAATGCACTGCTTGTCCTGATGCTTTGCCCTAAATGTAGCCTGCCTGAGATTTGATGTCCTAGTTATATTCTGGGGGCCCAAGACGCTGCATCTCTCGTCTTACAAGGAAGTGAGCAGAGCTCTGAAATATTTGGCCTCTTCTAAGCAAGCAGAAAAATGAGGTTTTGTTGAAAGCTTCAAGCTCAGACAGCAAAGTGAAAATCTGGTCTGTTGCCTCTTGCAAGGGACAGAGCGAGCTCTTGGAAGAGCAGAAAGCACCATGTAGCCTCAGAACTGGCTTTCAGTGGTAACCTGGGGACTGGGGAAAGAGCTTCTCTTCAGTTACCCATGTGGTTTGTGCCCAGTCCTTAACCCTTTTCAACAGGCATGTACATGATGGAATTGACTCACCTACTTTGTAAAGCAAAATGAGAGTGCTTTCCAAACAGAAAATATTTAGTGTGGGGTGATATAACAGTCAGGGCCAGAATTGATAATGACTTTCAATGCAGAAGTTAATAGCTGGAGATGGAGGAACTAGCAGGGCAATAGAAATAGTGTCTGAAAATATTTGAACAGCAAGTTGAAAGAGCTGCCTGTTACAACTGGAGGATCTGTGAAATTGCTCAACTGAAATGGAGTCTGCTCAGCCTTGCTCCCAGATTGTCTCAACAAGGTGCACTGCCTGTTTGGTGCCCGATTACCATCCATGTCTTACTGAAGTCTGACCTATCTCTATTGCCAACCAGCTAATAGTCTTCAGCTTACTGAAAGTGGATCATTTAAAGAGCAGTGCAGCCTCTTCCATGGCAGAAATCATGCTTGCTTATTATCAGGAGGTTTTCTGGGTCCAGCAGATTTCATCAGATGTCGCTGACCTACTGGATATGGATCCCCAGTCACCACAAGAAGCTGAGCCACTTTTAACGGGATGCACCAGAGCGCAGAGCAGATGCTGTCAGCACTGTTGCAGCATCTCTGTCCAGCATTGTGTGACTTTCTCTTCCTTTCTTTCTCCTTGACATAGAGAAAGGGGCACACACAGAATAACCATGAGCCGAGGATCAGAGCACTTTACATTGCAAGACATCACTTGCTGCATCTCCACTATTAGGACACTTTCGAATTAGAAATGAGCTTAAATGCCCTGTGACTTTCAGAGCTCTGAGCTGCTGAGTTATACTGCACTTATGTTCTGTGGGGCATGAGGGAGAGAGACACCAAAGGTATCTTGAGGATCAATCCTTTCTTGTTAAGAAGAAGGTTTGCCTTTCTGAAGCAATGTCCTTGAACCTGTCATAGAGCGAGCTGGCTGTTCTCACTGGACACCATCACTTGCAGAATTTGCCTTGTACTGTTGTGCTGATGAAGGGGTAAGGTGGCACTTGTAGCTGAGGCAGAATTACAATTCTTCATTCATTCTCTGAGCACTTGTGCTTTGAATGATTTATCACAGGCTGCATCCATCTCCAGAGCCCTCATGCCAATGCTCTGGACTTTCTGAAGAGCCTTCTGCCCTTTGTCCCTCTGCATTTTCTCACTGGCTTGATGAGCTTTTAGACTCACTTACACATCTGAGCTGAAAAGAGATTTTCCCTTCTGCTTTAGAAATAATTCTGCATTGCTACTGCTATATTAGTATTCTGTTACAGAGTTTAAAATGGGCTTCTGGTTTAAAATAAAAGAATTTTATAGGCAATTTATAGATTATTTTCCTCTAGATTCTGAAATAGTTAGGAACCTCAGAAAGGTTCCTGGCTTGACTTTGGGCCCAAGAATATAGGCCTGATCAGAGAAAGGAGTTGTCAGTGACTGGCCATCTCTCCTCCAAACCCATCAAAATCCTACTCAGGCACTTTCACAAGTGCTAGTCAGACATTGGGGTTCCTGCATTACTCCTGAGAACAGAGTATTTTAGGGCCAGCCCCTCGTGCCCTGTTGGCCACACTTTAGTGGAAGAGGTGGAATGCAATCTACCATGTTTTAGCTAGGAGATCCTTTCTTGCATGCCTGTGTCTACCTATTGCCACTCCTGCACCTAGTAACCTTTGAGTCAGCTGGCTGATTTTGACTCCTGGATGGGCGGTAGTTCTTTGAGCTCTATGAAAGAGGAAAATCAAGTAGAGGAGGGAGATCCAGGCAATTTCCTGTGTATATACACTAGAGAATCTATACGGGCAAAAGGCCTGATGGTCTCAGTATGAGAAGATCTTTACTTGAAGATCAGAGTCAGTGGTGAGGTCTGGTGTCATTCCTTCCAGTGTTCATACAACTTCCCAAGCTTTTGTGCACTGGAAGAATAAGTCCTCAGATCAATTTACACTTTCCAATTTTGCAGATCCTTGATGAATGGTTTGGGCGGACAGTCATCTGCTCCTGCGTGAAGCTGAGCTATGACCATGCACAGAGTATGATTGAAAGCCCTGGGAAGGTGTTCTCACCTGAAGAATTACCCCCTGTCTCCCCTCAACACTCAATAGCTGAGATCCAGCAAGCTGTGCTGAACCTGCATCGAATTGCCCAGCATCTCCGCAAACAGCGCTTCATTGATGGTGCTCTGCGCTTAGACCAGGTGAGTAAGTCCAGCCCCTACAAGGTACTCCCGCTCCACTGAAGCCATTTCACATTGTAGTCCCTAAGAATTTCCTGATCAGTCTAAAAACTTGAAGGGGAAAATTAAGGCTGGAATGGAAAAGCAGGTTTGTATGCCAATGTCTTCTTAAGAGCAGCATCAAATTATGTACCAAAAGTAAAGTAGGATGAAAAGAAAAAGTTCCTGGTTTTTAAGGAGTTGTCCATCTTTCAACATTTTTCAAAATCCTAAAACCCTGGTGGACTGGCTAAGTAAGTCATACAGTGAAACAAATCATGATGGTGTCATTCATTATCAAGCAGTTCAGATATCCTTAGTGCACATTTCACTGTGAAAGGCTCATCCTCCACATTTATTTCTGTGCTTGCAATACTCATGTTTTCCACAGCTTTCATAGCAGTTCTCTGCGCAGGGAAAATGACTAAATGTTATCTAAGCGAATACTTATATGTGATGGGCGTGTTTCGGAGAAAGAAATGCTAACGAGGAGGTTTTCTGTCTGGGGTGATTTAAATAATCTTGTAACAGTTGTGGTATGTGTCATTTCTATTTTACGAGTAGATCCAGATATTCAGACTATCACAGAAAAAATTCTTTTGCATTTGAGATTCGTCTGCTCTGAGGCGGCTTCTGACAGTTTTTGTGGGTAGCAGGTTCCAGTAATTTGTAGAACCCAGTGGCCTTCCTGAGCAGGAGACAAAATAATCTCTTAATGTAAGGAAACTCTATTGTTTCATTTTGCAAAATGAGCATGAATCAACATAAGGATATTGCTGAGAAAGAAGCTAACATTCTGAGATATGTAAACAGGACTATTGTATGTAAGAGGTATGTTGTAACCCTTCCATTTTACTTGGCATTGTAGTGTTGTCTCCAGTTGCAGTTAAGTCTAATTTTAGAGAAATCATTGCAGAGCAACAAGAGCAAGGAGTGTCTATAATCTGTGACCTTCCTGGACAGAGCATGTGGCTTAGTCTGCAGAAGCTGCTGTGAAGAGGAGGCAATGTGCTTTTCCCCATGTCTAAGAGGACAGGATGACACGTTTGTATCTTAAGTTTCAGTAGAGGAGATTGGGGTTATACTTTAGGATAAACTTTCTGGTGTAGGCATTGTGGTGTCTGAGGCTATCTTCCCTACATCTGTTGTAGGAGGACTTGGAGATCTGGTTAGGCACACATAAGTAAGCCTGGAGCAAGGGCATTTTCTCAAGGTCCCTCGTTGCTCAAAGGAAATAATAACTATAAATATTATAAAGGAAATAATTATATTCAAATAATTTTTGGAAATCAGACTCCCACTTTGAAGTCACACAGAGTTTTCTTAAACCTCTTTTGGAACAGAGGCTTGCCTCTTTGAGGTTTGTCATACAACGGCTAATAAGCTGGGCTTTTGTTCCCAAGCACACTCTGAACGGTAGAGAAACGTAAGAAACCCCAACCTTTGCACTTGAGGAACTAATGGCAAAGCCTTGGAGTTGTCTGGTTCGGAACAACAGTCCACAGTGACTGGGAGCTGTGGCCCAGAAAGGTCACCAGCTGCATTCCACAGGTCACACTTACGGTGACTGCTCAGCACTACACTGTATGTTCCTGAGTTGAGTACCTGTTATCAAACTAACCTCAGGGAAATATGTTTTAAAACAGCTGTGACATTTTCAATGGGAGGATTTGGTCAGGGAAGCATCCTGTTCCAGTGATACCCCATGAAAGATCAGCGGTGTTTTGTTTTGCTCTGTGCTGTTACAGAGGAGCTGTTAAAGAGAACGTATTGGAGCATCATTTGTCAGATCGGGGTTAAAAGCCATTGCTAAGGGCACCAGAGAGGGCTGATTCCTACTTAGCCTAGTTCCTAACCAACATGATGAACTGAGTTATATCTCACAAGTGGCACTCTGCTGTGCAGAATCTCTCTCCCCTGGCAAGAGTGTCAGAGGGAAAATAATGGTCTTAGAGAAGGAAGTGTATTTTAGTTCAAGCGACACTTTCCACCATACTTACTCTTTTCAAATACTGCCTTGATAGTTGTATTTTGATAAACTGCATCGTCCCCAGTGCACAGAGAAAGCAGTTACTGTAAGGCCTGAGTACAAACAGCATGTGAGGGATGGGGATGTGGACGTGGCCAGCAGTGTATGGCTGAACAAAGCAATCTGTAGCTTTTGATAGAAGGAGATGAGTCCCTCTGCCTTTGCTCCTCGACTTTCCTGAGTTCCCATGGACGCAGTTGTGCACTGGATCCGACTTCCAGCCCCGAGCAAGCGAGCAAGGGTGGGTCCGAATGGGAAACACACCTTTCTAATCACTGGACCTCTCACTGATTTCCTGTTGAGTAATGTAAATCCTGAACAATGGAAGACAAACTCCAGCAGGAAACTAGGGGCAATGAATTATCAGATTCCAAATAAATATGTGAGCGAAGGAAATGATCATCCCACAGTCTTAAGGGAGGGGGTGGCTGGACATGGATGACTCCTGTGCTTTTTTTTTCCAAGGGATGTGAGCCTTTTTCCTATACATTGCGTTATGTTTGAGAGCTTCTGCCTTGGGGTCACTCGTGATTGAACAGTGATGACTTTGTTTTTTCTTACTTCCACCCTGCCATTTTTCAGTGTGACGTGCTCTTGTGCTTCCTGTTGGTATTAAGAAAATCATGGGGGGAAGAATCTCCCATCCTGCTTTGCCGCTGGCCATGGTGGCCTTGGGCTGGTGCTCTCCCTGTCTGCCTCAGTTTCCTCTTAGTAGTAGTAAGAGGAAGAGTAGTAAGTAGAGTTAGTTCCTCTTTCCCCTGTAGTATCCATATAATTTAGGATTTATTCCCCAAAACTAAGAATATCTCTCAAGTGAAGCAATTCATGAGCGTATCTTTATAAAAGCAGAAATACTGGTTGGCCAGAAAACTCCTTGCATCTGACATAGGATGGCTCCAGTAAGATGCAGCTGTGTCAGGCTGGCCGTGCCGTCATGAGGGAAATGTTTCCTGTATGAATATCGCTGTGGAGTTTTTATGACCTGGTGTGAGAGAGCATCTGCTTGCCATGATTTTATCTTTTAGCAGTAATTCTAGAAGCAGAGATCTCTGTAGCTCAATGAATGAAGAATTTTATTTTTTTTTTAATAACTTGGGAATTATATACCTGGGTCACACAGAAGACCTTGAGACAAATTACAAAGGTAGCACATGGTCTTGAAAGCTTAGGATTTGTGAATTCATTGTCAGTATACAGGTGTCTCTTCAGGGCTGTGTAATTTTGAATTCCTGCCTCAGTTCTTTCTCTTTCCCCCCCCCAGTTCCTTTCATGCTTCTGCGGAGGTCTGTAGCAGAATCCTGCTGCATTGGACCTTGGGTCTGAGGACCTTCTTTGCAACCAAAGCCATACATCTGTCACTCCGTGGGATCTTGCTCTCCCCATAGACCCCTTCTGGGGCTTTTTTTCCCTAGAATATGGTTTCCTGTGCTGCCTGCCAGCTTCCTAGCTCCAGGAGGCAGCTGAGCACTGAGTTTTAGAGGTTTAAAGTCTTTGCACCTTCAGGGGCTAAGGAGCTTATGAAACTTCGTCCACACAGACAGAGATTAATGTGTTTCTTTTCCTTCTTATTTGGAGCTGCAGCTTTTAGATGTAAAGGCAAGAGGTGCCTTGACTTTGAGAGAAAAATGTTCAGATATTTACAATATTGTCTTTTCCCCCACCTCCTTCCTGCCCAGGACCATGAAATGCCACCCCTGTGCTGTCGTCTCACAGCTCGCGGTGCACCCGTGCTATAAATTGGAGCAGAGATCTGACCTGGTTTAAAAACCAAAGTGAGCACAACCCACAACTTTCCTTTTTTTTCCTGGCCAGGTTACATTGAAGCTGGATCACTTCCCCAAACCACAGCTTTTAGAAACACTAGCCAGAGAATCAGATAGAAACTTGCTTTCAACAAAAACCATCGAGTTTGCAGAAAAGCTTCTTAGCTCCAGCCTGCCTAGAGGAGACCTGCTGATAAATGGTTCTCTTTTTGGCCTCAACAGTTTATAAATGAATCACGAGGACAGATGCCTACAAGAGGACAGGTTAAAAAGGATTTCTGTGCGTATTTAAAATGAGAATACCCCGGGATGCTGATCTGTCTCTATGACAACTGTCTGTGAGCTAAGCAGTGGCTTTTGTCTTGCCGGTGATTCTGCCTTTGCCAGCGCGCTTATACCTGGGTGCTCAAAATGTTGGCATTGACCAAAGTTCAGTGTGAGAACAACCCAAAGTGTATTGCATTTGCCAGTTAATGGCATTGAATTGTTTGCTAGAATAGCTTGTCTCCTTGTTTTCTGCGCAACAGTCATTCAACTTTGCAGGTGTGTGCAAAAAGAGAAGGCAGGAAGGATAAAAATAGCAAAGATGAGAATGTTACGCAAATTTAAGCATTGAATTGCTGGTGAAATTACCTCACTTCTCCTTGCTCCCAGCCTGCAAGCTGTGCCACTGCCTCGTCAACTGAGCAAGGGTTGCTTTTCCCTCTGGGTCTCTTAAAGATAGTAAAAATTGTATTGTTGTAGCTCTGTACCACACTGGAGATCTTAACTACAGTCCTGTCCCATGGCTGCTGGGGATAAGGAAATAAGTAATCTTTGAGAATAGCTTTGTTTAATTAAGGTTGGTGGAAATATTAGAGTATTTCTGCTGCAGGAAACATAGGGAAACAAGCACAAAGACCCGAAACACCAGAATGTGTGTAGAATACCAGCTTCAGAACACCCAGGTATATGGCATACTGGATATAGTAACCAGCTCTGTATAGTTTTTGAAACTCTTAGAACTGACTCTGCCTACTTGACACAAACAACTTTGAGAAGTTGACTCAAGCCATTCACACATGGAAAACAAGGAGGAAGAAGGACACTGTATGTGCAGGATGTGACACTGTATATTGGAAAATTTCATATTTAGTTGTGGCTAATGGGATAGGACAGAAACATGTATTTTTAGACAGTTGCTCTTGCTA